GCAGCAGCACAAGATGATCACAGAAAGAGAAAAGCAGAGCATAGTTCATCGTCCTCACACACATCTCATTCTAGAAATCATTTGCAGCTGGACAGAAGGTTGCATGAGAGGCCAGAACATAATTTGAACCAGCAACCAAAACGGCAACCGCGTTTTCAGCAACAACGCCATTATCAACATCTCATGAAACAAGATAAATGTCAACCAAATTATCAGCGACAAAAGCAACATCATTACGAGAAACAAGTTAAACGCCAGCGATATCAGTACCAAAAACCACATCTTCAAAAAAGAGTGGAAAAATCAAATTCAAATCAAAAAACAAACATTTTTTCATTTGAATGGCTCCGCCTCTTGCGGGGAATATTATGAAAATGAAATATCTCCAGCAATAGCAGTAACAGGAACCAACTTATTATTACCAAGTAGATTTTTATTCCCAGATTTAAATGAAGATATAACATCTAGTCAAATCAAACAACTAGCAAAAAAAATGTTTAAACTTAATGACTACCTAACAACTAACAATCAACATCACTCTACCCCAAAAGCTTACGTACCAAATGACCTTTCAAACAGTAGTCACGTATGGTTAAGACTTAAGAGTTGATCGAGTACGTCGTCCACTGGAAGCACCATATACAGGCCCTTTCAAAGTGATTGAACGTAACGATAAATACTTTAAAATTGAATTGTTACCAGGAAATTTTCAAAATGTGTCAATTGATCGATTAAAGCCAGCTTGTTTATCATTACCTCTAACAGCAAAAACCAGAATAAACAACAAGAATAGTTCGACAACGAACAACAAACTTTCTACAACAGATTAAACAAAACCAGCAACATCAGACAAAAAATCTACTGAAACACCAGAAACAGCAACAACAACATCAAACGCAACAACAACACAAGAAACAAGACCGACGTCAATCAAATCCGAACCAACAACCCAACACTCCAAAAAAGGGAGGCGAATAACATTCAACAAATGAAATGAATATTTTTATTTTTAAACGGCTTCGCCTTTTGTGGAGAAGTATTGTAGGAATCAAACATTCATTTATTAACTATCTTATGTATTAACTATTATTAAAGATTATTGCAATTTTCAATGTTACCTAATCTATGTTAATTTTTATATCCTTGTTTCTCATTCGACTTCTTCCCTCTTTCCTGAGAGCTTGTAAACGAAACGGTTCGAGATTCACGTGGGAATAAAGATAACATTTTATTACGCCTAATTGTGTTTGTTTTATTTATTTTAACTCACAACAAGGTGTCTTGTTAGTAGCATAAGTTCGTACTAACACACACATATATATTATATATATATATAATATGCGCAGAAATGGCTTCTCAACAAAAAGTGTATCAACAATGGATTCCGATAACTTAAAGGAAAATCAGCGTAATATGCTAATGACCCTTTGACTGTATATATGCTAACCAACCCCTTGGTACAATATGCTGCTAATGTGCGATAATATTTTTATAAGGCAAAAGCACACATAAAGGGGTACACACCCACCAAAACACACACATATATATATAATATGCGCAGGAATGGCTTCTCAACAAAAAGTTGTATTTGACAAATTGTTATATTTTTATGTAATAATTTTTATTTAATTGATAATGAAAAAGTTTTGTCTAGCGAATTTTATACAAATGTTGATATTGATAAATTGTTAAAAAATGATATCAAAGCGTTAAATGTTGAAAACAGAAAAATCCCGTGCGCGTTGGTTCGTCAAAGGAAGAAAAAATGGTAGTGTGTTCAACTATTTTAAAATAATTAAAAAATAATTCCTTTCTAGAAAAATGTTTTTTGTAAGTTAGTACATGCTTGTTTAAAATCCAAAAATTTGGAAAAAAATGTCATATAACAACAGAAAGAATTCGTCAAAATTAGCCAAAATGGTGCTAAAAAAGGTCAGAAACCAATGCATATGGCCTGGAGGCGTAACACTTTAAGATTGGATATTCAAAAATGCAAAGTTAGAAAAAAACAGATAACCCAGACAACGTCAACAATAGCAATGGATGACAAGTCTACATTTAACAAAACATATATATTAAATTACGAATTTGATAATTTTTTTAGTTTTTTGAAGGAATCCAATTATTTCAACGTTAGTGATTTTAAACAATTGACATCTAAAGCTAAAGTTTCTTCTAAATTTAAGTCTTTTTCACACCAATTCACGCAATCAAATACAAAAAATTAGCGATTTAAACATTTTATTATTAAATATTAATATCAACTAACAAGTTTTGGCCATCACAGAAACATGCTTGAATAATAATAATGTAGATTTTGTCCAACTACCAAATTAAAATTTTGTTTCCAACACATAAATCCTATGTTGGTGTTGTTTGTTTCATTGTCCGAGAGAGTTTGAACTTCTTGGAACGAAATGATTTATGTCTAATAATTGAAAACTGTGAATATATGGCAATCGAGTTTCTAAACAAAAACACTCATAACATCATAATATGTATATATTTAGATTTATTTATATATATATAACCTCCTACCTCGGGAAACCGGGTCTCTGGACGCAAAACGTCTAGTTGCTCGTGCCCCTTTCTTTTCTCATATATCTCCATATCTTGTTCTCTTGTACTGGCTACCTATAAAATATAGAATAATTTTTAAATTTTGCACGTTCATGTATAAGTCTCAATCTAAATTATTTCCTAAATATTTATCAGATATATTAATTGAACATAAACGCCCCGGTTTACGATCGTCCTCTTCTCGCTTTTTCTTAACTCGTGTTAAACACTCTTTTGCCAAATCTGCTTTTGCTCTTTCTGGTCCTTTTCTCTGGAACTCTCTACCTACTTCTCTGACTACTTCTCCATCACTTGCGAAGTTTAGAGCGGATCTCAAGACCCATCTGTTTTCAAAATTCATTGAGGAGCGCTGTTGAACATCGCGGAAATAGCGCTTTATAAGCTAATTGATTGATTGATTGAAAACGAAGATTGATTGATTGATTGATTTATTTATATATAGATAAAGACTAATAGTTAGAAATCATTAAGCATGCATTGAGGAATGGACAACTTGTAAATTAATTAGAGGGTTGTAAATTAATTTAAGGGTTGTGAATTCATTTATAGACGTGACATTTTCATTTGACTCATTTAGGAGCACATCGGTAGCTATATAAAGAGAGGAGGTCCCAGAAACAACAGAAGAAGGAAGAAGCAGAGGAAAACAAAGAAGGAAGAAGAGAGCGAGAAATACAGTTGAACTAGAAGTGTGATTCGATGCGAAGTCGTAAATGTGATTTATATAGTTGTTTGGACTAATTTATTGTTTCTATAACTGAAGGTGTTGAAATAAACGTTCAACTTAGTTTGCGTTTGAAGAAGTTGTGTTCATCTATCGGAAATCTTGAACCTACGAATAAACGAACTCTTGACTATCGTTGGAAGATATAGAGATTATTAAAGTTATAACATCGGTGTTGATAGTTGCATGGTCGAGGAGATTACAACACTCACTGCTGTAAAGAATGCAGGGCTAGAAGAACTTAATATAATTAGTCTGACGAGAGAAACTTAATTATTGACGATTGGTTTATTTCTTGATTTATCTGTCGATTAGTTATTATGCTGTATTCTAACAATTTTAACGATTGAGTAAACGAGTGATTGGTCACAACAATACACACAAGTGATCGCCAGCACTGTTTTCTTTCTGATAAATTTTGGCTGAAATAAGAATGGCTGATAGATAAAAATGTTGCTGGCTCTGGCATTTGTTGAGCCGGATAATGTGATCCAAGCGTTTGAAAAATTGACGGAAAGTGACCAATATCTTGATGAAGTCATGCTAATTGCAAACTTCTTTGAAGATACTTACATTGGAAGACCACAGCGACGTGACCGACGTCATCCGACGTTTTTGATTGCTGCATGGAATGTTCATCAGCGGACGTTAGATGGACGGCAACGCACCAATAATGATGTAGAGAGTAATCATCATTGACTTTTCACTCCCTCAGAATTAGGTCTTATGACCATTTATGATGAATAATTTCCCAGACCTAACTAAAGCTTATATGGCACTTAACTTACTATTATAGGTTTGCACCGAGCTTTCCAACAGACTTGTGGTGCCTCGCACCAGTCCATTTACCGTTTCATAGAATTTCTCAAAAAGCATCAGGCGGCTCAAAATTGTGATGCTGTTCAACTTCTCATGGGTAATCCCGGCAATTCAAAAAACCTAAAATACCAGACCATTTCACACCGAATAAAAACAGTAGTTCAAACTCCGAATTTTATTGATTACTTAAGAGGTAACGCGTACAATTTTGAATTTTTAATGCGTTTTTTATTTTGTGTCTTTTTAATCATTCCAACATAACTTCCATATAGTGTGTTCGTTTTTGACAGTTTGAATTAAAGTTGGCACTTGTATGGTCATTTTTGTTTGATAGGAATAAATGGTCCAGGAGGAGTAGTTCTAGAGCGAATTGTTCAGGGGCAAGTTGTCCGGGAGCGAGTTGTCTGAGGGCAAATTGTTGGAGCAAGTTGTCTAGAAGCAAGTTGTTTGGGGTGAGCTGTGGGGGGCGAGATTTCCGGGGCGAGTTGTCCGGAGGCGAGTTGTCCACATCCCATCATGGTCATTCCTGTTGAAGTTCATCTTGTATTATATATATATATATATATATATATATATATATATATATATATATATATATATATGGTAATTTATTAAATCTAATAAATTTTTAGCGTTGGATTTTTTTTCATTAGATTTCTCAATATTTTGAACCAAATTCTTGTCGTCAATATTTATTTTATTAACGTTAGAATAATATACAGTTTTCCAATTCATTCTCAAATGTATAGGGTTTATTTCGATTCTTCAATCATCCTCAGCACTTGTTGCAGTTTATATAGAAAATTTGTATAATCCAGTACTTGTTTCAGTTTATATAGGGAATTTGTATAACCCAGGCCTCGGTTCCTGTGATTTGCATTTATCGTTATTATTGACTTTGTAAATTTTACTATCTTCCTTATTGTTATTATAGACTTTTTAAATTTTACTATCTTTATTAATTGATATGAATTTTTTGTTCAGGCTAATTGCTTCGTTGTCGTGTTTTATTGCTTCGATAACACTTTGGTCGATGTTGTTTTCTTCAGTGTCTTCATCGGTACCATAATTGTTGTTATTATATTTTATTATTGTCCTTCTTGTTGAGAGTATTGTTAAAATCTTTTGTTGTTTGTTTTTCAGGGGTTGTTTTATGTTTATGACGATGGCTTCGACTAATTTTAGGAAATGGCTGGAATAGCAGTATATTATTTTGGTGTTATTGTTCAGGATTTCTCACCAATTTTGCATTTATATTAGTACACTAGGTGACTACGGTTTATTATCGCTTCTGTCTTGCTCACGCAGTTGTTTTTTTTATAATTAGAGATAACATACTTTTGTCATTTCTAATTATATCCCCTTGTATCTCTAGTTCCGGGTCCGTATCATTAGCCCGATAAAAGCTTAATCCAGCCTTTTCCCTGCTCACTTCTACTATTAACACAATAAGCTTATTTAAAAAGAAATTCGCATGTTCTACAATTTATTAGTCATTATATTTATTACCAATAACTTTTCCAAAGAATATTGACAACCGAGAAAAGCCTTTTAAAACAAAAACATTTCGTGGTTGGATGAGACCGGTTTATAATTTTTACCAAACAAACAATTGCAATTATGCTTCAATCATATTATTAAATTATTTTTTTATTTTAAAATCAAAAACAATTATTTGAGTCTCTTTTTAAATTTATAAAGTTTAGATTAAGTTGTTTTACAATGTTTCAGAGTATCATTAAAATTTATAGACCGCCTATAAGGTATGATGCGCCCGGTTCTGCACCGGCTTATGCAGAAGCTGGGTTCGAATATGACAGAAAGATCTCCGCCTATCGCGTGTGTGTTATGTATGTGTGTAGTGTGTGGGGGATGTGTGTCATTTAGCATGTATTGTTATACGATGTATGTGTGTTGTTGATTCCTCTGAACTCTTGAAGAGTGTATATAACACCTTATATTTCTTTGGTTAAATAAAATAATTTTGCATATTATGCATGACAGTGTCATTGTTATACTGTACATTTTTGATAGTTATTCATTTTTAAAACAATCAACAACAAAATTTGTACGAAACCAGAACATTTTTTTAATTAAATGTAAATTAATCAGAAAACAAGCAACAAAATTATTGCTACCCACTTCTAATCATTTCAAGTGTTTTCAAGGGAATGAGTGGGCTTTATCATAAGCAGCTTTCTATAAATAATGTGTTTTTCTATTATAAACGGCCACGTCATTTTTTTTAAATTTTATTTAAAAAAAAATATTTTAAATTCTAGCAATTAGCACCATGTTGTCGGATCCAAATGAACGGGCTTCAGCGCCACCGTTTCAACGCATATCACCAGCGGCTATCAGCTACCCACCAACAACTTTCCCAACAGCAACTGTTTCCACATCTCTTCCTCCCATGTCTCCTGTTGCATACAATTCTCCAATCTACTACGCAACAAATGTGGTCAACGTTTTGGGAATAATTCAAATTTCAATTGGAATAGTTTTTATAATATTTTCAATTGTTCAAATAAGTTTGGCTTCCCTCTACAACATTTCGTTATTCGCATACTGCGGATATGGAATATGGTGCGGCATCGTGGTAAATGTTCACATTCATTTCAAATTCAGCATTAATTTTTTATTTTGAATCTAACATTACAGTATTTTCTGTCAGGCCTGCTTGGAGTGATATCCAGTAAAAAACAATCTAAAGATTTGGTTAGAAGTTATCTTTTTTTATATTTTTTGAATTACTAACAAATAAATTTGGAATGATTAATTATTACAATTACTATCAAGGGCGTCTGAAAAAGGGGAGGTTATGCCTCCATGTTAAGTTAGGAAGAAATTTTATCATTAAATAATTGCTTGAATTATTTTTTAATTTGTGTAGTTATTAATGAAATAAAAAAAAATGTTATCAATAATGTTAAAACGTTAACGGGTTTCCTTTTTTATCACACAAATTTAAAACTTTAATATACCTGCTAATTGCCGTCCATTGTTTAACTTTTTGGTTTGGCCTTTATTTATAATAATCATTCTCGATTGGTAAAATTTTTTACACATATTTGCAGTAATTTCTTAGATCTTGTTTCGCCTAATTTGCATCCTAACTTCTATGATTGTTTATCTGATCTATTTATCCGATCCTTTTGGTTGGAGTTATTTTGGATCTTGCTCTGGTGATCGATTGGTTCGTTGTTGGTGTAAAGCGTCTTGTTATCTATTAAACATATGTTGTCTGAATCATCTATGCATGGGCGGATCTAGACAACTTTGACGGGGGGGGGGCCCAAAACTGGGATATTAAGGTTTTAGTTTGACACATCAATGAAACCATATGAAACCATATTTTTTAACATGCTTCTTAATTTTTTTCGTTTTATTCATTTTTGTTCAACTTTGCCAACTGTACGTACTACGTTGTTCAAATAAGCGGGTAATAATTAGCAAATATGATTTAATCAAAAAACTTTTAAATAGAATATGTTGGCTAAATTTTAAGAAAAGTTTTAAAAAATCGTTGTTTTTTAATTTTTTAATCAAAACAAAATGGATTGAAACTTTTTTAAATAAGTTTTAAATGGTTTTACAAAAAAGCCATACGATTCAGTCCTAATTTACTAAATTTATCTATTATAACATCTGATGGAATATCAATATCTTGATGAATATTCATGAAAGATAATCCATTAAGTCTGTCAGTGACCATTGTGAATCTCAAATAAGTTTTCAGCCTTTTCAAAGAGGAAAAACTTCTTTCATTTCCGGCAGTTGATGGTGGTCTGACTGCTGATATTAAAAAAATAATTCTAATGTTAGGATATAACATGACATCAGCTTCATTCAAAAAATCTACAAAATTACTAATAGATTTTCCTTTTTCTTTATTCTCCTGCCATTTAACCCACCATCGCTCGTATTCCGATTGTAAACTTCGTGCCGACGGCAAATCAGGAAAAGCATCGGCAAGCATCTGAAGTTGATTTATGCACAATGGGTTTAGTTCTCTCAACATGACGGACGGAATTATTTTTGAAGCTAATGCGATGTCGTTGTGTTTTAGAGTAAAACGATCATTAAGTCCTTGAATTACGTTATCGAGAAAAAGTATAAAAACTGTCTCTCTATAATAAACCATTGGGTCATTATTTGGCAAATTGAGCCTCATAGTTTGCTTGAGTTTTTTTAGGAATATATGGTTCTGCCCCAGAAAAGTTGGCTATTTTTAGAATATTATTAAATATTTCCTGAAAACGATTATCTACATCGTTTCTTACGGCATTTAATGCAATTTGTGTTGTTTTAGCTTCATTCATTGCTTGACATAAATCTCACCCTGAAGTTTGCAAAATTACACTTAGTGGTTTAGTATAATTGTATAATTGAGTACAAATTCTACACTCATCAAAGCTGAGACATATAAAAAATTGCTGACAGCTGCTAACAGTTCTGCTGCATTTGATGCAGTTTTGGAGACTCGCCAAAAAATACAGCTATTTTTTGAAGACTTCCAAACATATTCCGAATGCATGCAATGCTACACGATTTTATGATTACCAAATTCAACACATGATTTGAGCAATGCGTATACAAAGCCTGTGGATTTTGGTTTAAAATTTGAGCTGCAACACCAGGTATGTTAGAGGCACCATCATAACCTTGGCCTCTTAACAGTAAAGGATCAAGTCCAATTTTAATTAGAAAATTCCATAATACATCAGCAAGAGCCCTCCCTGTTGTGTCGGTAATTTCAAAAAAACCAACAAATATCTCTTCAACGATATTATTGGCTGTAACAGTAACATAACGTAATAGGACAAACATTTGTTCTTTTGTTGAAATGTCGGTAGTTTCATTTGCCAGTAAAAAAAAATAAATTGATTTTTTGACCATTTCAACTACTTGATCCATTACTTAATTACCACACAATCCAATAAGTTGTTCTTAGGTTGTTTTACTTATCATGGTGGCGTTTCTAGCTGATGTTGCTGTCAGATGTTTTTGTAATACTTCATTACCACTAAATGTACTGTATTTTAATAGCGCTCTGAAATTCCCTTGATTGTTATCAGATTTGAGATCTAATGCACCGTCATCTCGGTGTCCACGCAAAGCAAAATTCTGTCTTTCACAAAGTTTAATAGTTTCAATAATAGTGTTAAGTAATTTTCTATTCTGCTCTATTTTTGTGGATAGAGCGGAGTTTGATAACTTTAAAACATTAGTTTTATTTTTAATCAAACCCAGAAACATTTCTGATTTTTCTGTAGCCTCTCTATGAAAAGATGTCGCTTGATGACAGCGACATTGATCTAAAGCTGATTTATAACGATTTAAAGGTGATATAACAAATGTCGATTTGCATAAAGTACACAAAACCTACAGAAGACTCCTTTTTTCAAATCAGAATGAGTCAGCCAGGAATATTCTTGAAACCAATAGAATTTAAAAAACCGTTTTCTTTTACCTTCCATCACAAATAAAAATTTATAATTCTCGTCAGGTTTCCATGGATTTTTCAAAAGATCATATCTTAAATCATTGCTTCTGTTTTTTTGCCGGAGTCGGTTAAAAAAAGTTTAAAATACTACTTTTTAAAAAAATTTTTTTATTAATTTTAAAACAAATTCAAATGCAAACTGATTTTATGAAACACAAAAAAATCATATAGGACGCGCCAAATCGTAAATGAAATAAAATGTGAACTGCTAACAAAACATAAAGTTATGAAAAGTCTAAATAAGTAAAGACTATAATATTTTTGATTTACTTTTTGTTGATATTAGTTTACAATAAAAGAAATATACTTAGAAAACATGAATTTTTTTATTTTGTGCCGCAAAACACTAATTAAGTTTAATATATGAATAAATAAACTTGTATCAAATTTATAAAAAAAATCAGCGTTATTTTTTATTGTTAAAATGAGTCGATCTAAAAAATTATTTTTATTAACGCTGTCTTGAATTGAACTGATGATAACGGGGGGCTATGGCCCATCCCGCCCCCCCCCCCCTAAATCTGCCACTGCATCTATGCATTCAATCTTGAGTTTTAGGCTTTTTCTTTTCCTGATAAATTACATGCATTCTATGTTTAAACATTTTGAAATATTTCAGATAGAATCTAAAAAATCCTTGTTGTTTGATATTGAACGTTTTGATACTAGATGGTTAGTTAAAAAGTATGAACGTGTTTATTGGAAGACTTGCAGAAAATAATAAAATTGCTTGAATTAAACGAATTCGTTAAATGTATAAATTGAAAACTTAAATATTTTTGTTTGCATTGATTAAAAAATTAAAACTTATTCCTAAAAAGTTATGAAGGAATGTCGATTGGCTTTTAGGAAGAGTTGAATCTGTGTTGAGGATTCGATGTTCTCTGCTAACTTTCTTTCTAAGTGTGTATCAAAGGTCAACTTTGCCAGGGTAATTACTGTTATTCCATCATACGTGGATGTAAATGCAGACGAATTGAATGCTTTATCTCAGTGTTTTTCTAATGAGATGGAAGGGTTTTTTGAAAACTCGTCTTTGACTACTTCAATTCCTAATACTGTTCCTTCTCCATTTTCTATAACCTTTTTATCTGCTATTAAAATTATTAAACGTCTCGTATTTTTTCAGTTGTGTGATTATTTTAAGAGCAATAGGGTTAGTTTGTTAGTCTGCGTTTTGAACTCATCACCTAACTGAAACTATTGCTGAAGATTGTGGGTGGCCGTTTAATATTTTAGAGTGAATTTGAATAAATATAATATATAACAATTCGAAATCAAATAAAAATTGAATAAATGTTAGTTTTTGCTTCCAACATTCAAAGAAGGATTGACACCTCTGATTTATCATTAGTTTTATTCGTTTACCGAAAGTAAAATGTTTTTTGGCGTTATGAAAAAATTTTATTTTTTTCTAAATTGTTAATGCTTTGCTTTTTACAAACAAATTTTCTTGTATAATGCATACAATGAAGAAGTAACTTTTGGTATTTTAATTTTTGGGCAAGTAAACTTGATAACAATGATTTTTCAAAGACACTTGTTTAATAAAACTCAACACATTCACTGATGCAAGGTAAGTATAATTAATGCAGATGAGTTTCTAGTTCAGTAAAGTTTTTAGTATTTTAGCGTTCCATTATAGAAAATTAATTAACTAATTAGTTAATTATAAAATAATAAGTGCAAATAAATAAACATTATTATTGATGATATTAAATTATTTTCTTAATTTATTTGAAGTTATTCAGAACATTTGAAAAACATTTCAGATTGTTTCATTCATGGTCATGTCGATCATAGCGGCTGCATTAACATCACTCAGTCTTTCTTTTGGGATTACTGATGCTGTTATTGTCGATACCTATCCATTCGTAACCGTACGTTTTATTAAACTTTATAACTTAAACAGTTATAAAATTTATAACTGTTTATAAATGAAGACCAGTGGTTTTCAACCTCTTTTGTCCATCTATGCCCATACCAAAAAAGGTCTTTTTTTTCTTCCGTTATTTTTATTAATTTTACGTATGAGATTGAATGAAAATGTACGTACAGTAAAATAAGAAAATCGGCACATAGCAGTCTATAATTTCATTAAATATATAAATTTATTTAATAAATAAATTGAATAATTAAAGTAAATCCAATTTAATAAATTTAATCTAAAAAATTTAATCTAATAAATTCAAGTACAGTTAAATCAAAAAAGTACCCTCAATTTTTTAAATTCATAGTATCGTGAAGTTTAAAATAAAATAGGTAAAGATGTCTGCGAAGAGATGCATATATAAGATAATTATGGAAAACAATGTTGACTAACAAAATACTATCAATAATAGAGATTTTGGCGAACCTTGAAAGTGTGGTCTTTGTAAAATAAGTACCCAGAGAATCTTTTTAAGATCTCTACATGCCATCGAGGAGTGATCAGTAGAGCGCACACAGAAAATGTACGCTTATTAATAAATTGATAATTGCTGAGCAAATAATTGAAAATGCTTAAAAAACTGTAATTTAAAAAAATGCCCATTCAGGTTGTAACTGTTTGATGCGCGTACAAGCCAAAAACAAACAACTATATACTGGCATTAAAAAGTCAACCTAGTTAAAAAAGTAACCTAATTGAAATAATTATACAAAAAAGCAATAAAAGCAGAATAATTATTTGTTTATTTCCACTTCGCCAATAAAAAGTTTAAAAAATGTGCTACGTTTTTTCATTTCTTTTTGAAATCCTCTATTTTCATTATTCACTTTATAGCCCACTACCGCCTCCTTTAAAATCAGCGCCCTCTACCGCCCCTTTTGTGCCCAGCGCCCCCATTTTTGCCATTTGAAAATTGCTCCTTGAAGACCACTAGTTAGAGTGAAAATAACTAACTTCACGAACCTATATAACCTTTCAACTTTAGATTTTCTTGCTAAAACCATGAATAAAATCACAAGCTAAAAATGTTAATAAAGTAAACGCAAAACACTTTTGCGCCTGTCATCTGATTATTGCTTTAAAAAAATTACATCAACCTGCCAAATGATTAAAAACGACCATGCCACCACTTTTAATGTTTCAACAATATTTTTACACTTAGTTCATTTCTTTCTTAAAAGTAAATTATAAATGGTGTTCATAAACTTTTTATTCAACATCTTTCACTGTATAAACATACTAATTACACTAAAATGTAATGCGCTAAATTTTTCCCTTTGTGGGCTGCGTGTTAGGACTTGTGCTATGCATTTTGTATATGAAACTATGGTATAAAAATTATGATAGCTATGACAAAAATTAGTTGAGACTAAACTTTTTAATTATTTACAGAAACATCAAAATTTTTTAATTGGAATTTCAGCTATGATAGCAGCACTGTCATGTGTAGAAGCAATCGTAGCTATAACAAGTTCAGCTATATGCTGTCGGGCTGTTTGCTGCCGAAAAAGTGAAAATGTGGGCTCCATTATTCGTTTCGAAA